CCGCAGCGTATTTGTGGACGCGCCGCTAAGCATTTCGTTGTCCAATTCAGTGTATGCACGAATTTTAAACGCGCACGTGGTGTTCTTACGGCCAAAATTTTAATTTTCCGTCTGCGAGATCGTTTTTATAGTTCTAATAATTAAAAAATTCAAAATATATATAAAATAAATTAATATAAATAAGAATTTCAGCGCTAAATTGAAAAACAAAAAAATATATATATAAGTACTTAACGCATGTGAAAGTGTTAAAACTTTGATAGGTAATAAACAAGATTTAACATAAAATTTTTAAAAATTCTGTTGCACACAAAAATAAATAAATAAAATGTAATAGAAAAAATAAAATAAAATAAAAGTAAATTGCGCGTATTCGATGTGCATAGTTGCGATCGTTGCAGTGCTATTTTTAAAAAAATATCTACAACTCGTGAAAATTCTGTTGGCGCTTCCAATATATGTACTTTTGTTGTTTTTGTTTTACATTTATATTTATTTCTATTTTTTTATTCGCTCTGCTGCTGTGAAAAGCGCTATTTTTGATTTGTGTTTTTCTTTGTTGAAAATTTGCTCGCTTCTTTACATTGTTGTACTATATTCGACCGCCAACGCGTGCTGGTTGACACCAACGCCAAAAGTAAACACCAAAAATATAACATTTTGCGCGCATTTTATCTAAATCCGGTAAACTACAATTGCGCGCTTCTCTAATACTTGCCATTACATAGTTAATAAGTATAGTTATTATACTAGTGTGGTGGTAACTAGATTTGAACTAGTTGCGTTGTAGCCATTTGAAAACTGATTTTATGAATTACTTAAAAAAATAGATTAAGTTATGTTTATTTTAATTTTATATAAATAATATAACCTATTAATATAAAAATATTTATATAATTTTAATTTTTTTCTTTTTTGCATATTTTCATTTTGCTTATAGCTCTTAAATCATTAATTTGTTTCTTTATTTGGGTCAAATATATATTTCATTAAAACAGATCAGTGCTAGTTGTCAATTAGAAGATCAGCGCAACTCTTATCAGTTACTTTGTGAACGAGACTCGAAATTTTGCAGTTTGCAATTCCATACAGATTCATATGTGATTTCAATTATTCTATTTGAATTCTAATAAAATCGAATTTAATTCACTAATTAAGAATAAAATATGCATTAGCAAAATTATCAGCATGATAAATCAAATTGATTGTCCGATCCGGATCCGGATGAATTAAGAAAAAACTTGGTTAAAAATTAGCAATCTGAAACGGATGGGGCGGAATTGGACCACATGTTGACAAAAAAAGGTTTCGTTCTCAAGCATCAATCTCAAATTTAAAAATGAGCAGTAACATTCGTGGTTTCAAAGGTGTCATAAAGTAAGAGAGGATCCGCTTTCGAATCTCGAAACTGCCAACAGAGGAATAAATGTCTGAAGAACAGCGGATAAAACCAAAATCGAAATAAGAGTGATAAGACAGGATTTCATGTGAATCAGTCATTAATGAGTCAATATGCGTCTCCGTGCGATTTTTTCATTTCACAAACTATTCCATTAATTTGAACCAAACCAGATTCGTAATATTTCAAAATTGAACACATACTTCAGAAAGAATAAGATTGATAATTTTGGTTTATTTAATTTAATTTAATTTTATTATATTTAAGTTTTATTTTATACTATTTTAATTGAATTTTATTTAGTCCAACTTCACTCAATTAATTTTATTTAATTTAGCTTATTTTAATTTAATTTAATTTTACTTCACTTAGTTTAATTAAACAAAAATAATTAATTTAATTTGACTTAACTTAATTTAATTAAACCAAATTTTTTTTTTTAGTTTATTTTATATTATTTCTTTTTTTTTAATATATTTAATTTAATTTAATTTTATTTTTTTAATTTCTTTTATTTTTTTTGATTTAATTTAATTTAATTTATTTTAATTTAATATTATTTTATTTTATATTATTTAATTTAATTTATTTTATTTTATTTAATATAATTTCTTTTATTTTATTTGATTTAATTTAATTTATTTTAAATTAATATTATTTTATTTTATATTATTTAATTTATTTATTTTATTTAATATAATTTAATTTTATTTGATTTTATATAAATTTATTTTATTTTTTGTTTTATTTTATATTCTTTTGTTTTATTTAAATTAATTTGCTTTATTTTATTTTATTTTAATTTATTCTATTTTATTTTATCTTATTTTATTTTATTTTATTGTATTTAATTTTTTTTGTTAAATTTTTTTTTACTTTAGTTAGTTTTACATTTTTTCTATGTCAATGCTAATTTGCTAATGTCTTTCTTAATGCAATAGAATTTGGTTGCAACCAGTCTATAACTAGTCACCTCAAAATTTCAGCAACAATATTTTTAGGAAAAGTGTGAAAAGAGAAAAAATCACTTGAATACTCTGTGAAAACATATAAAATTAAATATGCCAAATTTCATACAAAATATAAACCTGCTACCAATCTACTTTGCCCCATTAAATCGCAAGCGGAAAGTGTACGGTCAAACATACATATTAATATGCATATGAATAGCCGCCGATACAAACATAAATACTTGTATAGAATATACATATGTATGTTTGTATGTAGTGTAACTATGTAGTGACCATGCATAGTCAATCAAAATCGCTCATACGCCCATCAGCACCAGCGTCCGCAGCACTGTGGGTCACACGCCACGCTTTGTTTGCGCTGCAACACGTTTAAGTGGCGCTAAAATACAACTTTTTTTTTATAGATACTCGTATACATATGCTTTGTATTTTTTTTGTTTGTTTTTTTGGCCTGCCGTGTTTGGTGCTCTCGACCGCGGCGTTCGCTAATTGTATTTTTTATCGTTTTTTTGTATTTATCAACAGAAAGATTTCACACTTTTTTATTGCACGACGCCTTAGTGTCAATTTGTATTAATTTTTAGCGTATTTTATTTTTACGTTAATACACAGTGCAGTACTCTTACCGCTTTTTAAAATTAGTAAGTAAACTACCAAAATTAAGCTTATAATATTTGTTTTTAATACATGAAGTTAAGGCTTCTCATGTTATTGTTTGGGCTACCAAGAGTAAATGTACTCTACTCGCTAGAATGTGATAACAGTGATTTTCAACTGGCTTCACACTATACCTATGTTTAGAAATTGCTCGCATGAGCAACAAAATATAATACTACTACTACTCAGTCGTCGATTCCCGGGGAATGCATCTTTTTTTTCTGCTTTGGGTGTCTCTACCACTCGTAGAGATAATACTTTATTCTTCTAATATTTCCAAAGGTTATTAAAGGTGCAATCCTTACACATAAGTTTCAAATTAATAAAATCCATATCATTCTAAAAATAATTTTAAAAAAGTGTATCAACTTACATATTTTTTATATAAACCTACTTTTATATCGCCTTTGCTCGGCTTGTGACATTGAAATGTACTAAATTTGATTTTTGATGTCGATGAACTGTGAAAATCGCATTGAATGCACTTTGCAAAATTTTACTCTCAAATTTTGAAATAAATATGCATCGCCATATATATGCACTTACATGTACATATTTATACTTATATATACACTTATTTGTTTACATGCATATATGTGTACTACACCTGATAATAGCGCTTAGAAAATGCACCAAAGCGTTTTGCAAGTAAACAGAGAACGAATTTACCAAATATATGTAGGGTAGCAAACACACTAACAAAAACAGAAAAAAAGCAAATAAGGTAGGGCTAAGTACGGGTGTAACCGAAAATTTTATACTCTTGCAACTTACGCGGGTTCAAGCGGGGGACTTATTTTCAGACGTTGACAAAACTTTATAACACTAAGAGGAGCTTGATCGATTCTACCCATATTTGGCATACGGGCATAGTATTACCAGGAAAGGATCCGAATTTCAATATCACAGATTAACCGACATTTTCTATAAAATGCGCGCTATAAGAACTGGGGTCCGCATAATCGGTATTTCGGGGCTTGAACAGCTGTAGTCCAACTTTGACAAGTTTTGGTTATAAGGTGGTCTACTTGAAGCTCAATCACTCAATCAGATGGAATTCAAAATTGTGTTATATGAGAAGTAGGCGTGGTTTTAGTCCGATTTCGCCCATTTTCGCATTCGAACATAAAAATGTCAAGATAATATTACATACCAAATATCGGTCGAGTATGTCCTGAGATATGGGTTTTCATCTAAATGTGGACGGAGCTTCGCTCATCGTCTTATTTTGACCCCGATTTCATAAAATTTTACTATGTCGGTAGGGACACTCAAGTGATTTGTATTTGGCGAATTTAGTTATTGTACCTTAATTGGCTTAGGACATATATATATTAAACGTTCTAAAGCGTGGGACCACGCCCATTTTTTCAATATGTTTAACTCACAGGTGCCTCTTTCTACTGTTATCCCTTTTGCCAAGTTACAGTTTTACATCTTATTTTAGTTCTTAGTTATGGCATTTTATAGATTTTCTTAAAATGGCGCCGTTGTGGGCGTGGCAGTGGTCTGATTTTGCAAAACTCGTCCTTTCTTTTCGCCAAGGAACCCATGTAATTAGTTTCATTACGCTATCTGAATTTTTTACTCAAGTTTACAAACAACCGTTATGTAAACAAAACTAGTATGCTCTGTAGCAACAGGTTGCAAGTGTATAAAAATGAAAACCAAACAAAAATACGTCGAATTTCATCATAAAATCAACTAAACAAACAGTTTAAATTAATTAGCAAATTACATGAAAATCGCTCAAAACTTGTTTACTAGTGGGCAGATATTCCCATGTATGCAATATACAGTTCAATATTTTAAACTATTTTTATAATTTAAATTGGTTTGTTGACAGCAGATTTGAATACATAAATCACTTCTCTTAGCAACAAATTATAGCTTTCAAATTTACGATCGCATTTACAGTATTATATTTTCACATTTCAAAATGGTTAAACGTATGGGTTTTCATCTCGTTTCAGTTGCCGCTGCTTCTCTTCGAATACTTCCTGCTTTCCTCAAAGCCCATGCAACCACCTTGACAACAAGCGTCCTCCAAAAACTTCCGGCTTATATGCAAGTGTGTAAGTACAATTGTGGGCACTAAATAAATGTAGAATGCAAAAAAGTTTTATCCCAATAGGCAAGGCTTAAGATAAATAAATCCATTTCCTAAAAATAGTGTTTTATATAATTTTGAAATTAATAGTACTATATACGGCCATTAAAACCCCTAAAATCAAAGCAATATGAAGCAAAGTTTTTATATATAATAATATTAGATTATAGCCACCGTTATTCAACGTACTCAGTTATGTTGACCGATGCAAGAAAAGTCGCATTTCAAATAGTATGGGTTTCCGGTAAAATATATATACAATTTCGAACTGTTAGTAGTGAAAATTCACAAGGTTATCCCTTAACTATGATTAAAGTTTCCTACAGGGTATGATCGTCATTTGCTTGTTGACAAAAAATTGCATCTAATAGCAACGGGTGAAAGAACTCAAAAAATATTTGTTTACGTTTTCATTGTACCTGCAAATTTCAATCTATAAATGCCAATAAAAGCCTCTATCTATAATATTATATTATAGCATTCGCAAGTTGACTTAATAAATGCTGACTAATGACAGTCATTTAAATCTGAAATGTGTTGTTATATTGTTTATTTGTTTATTATTAGTTTATTTATAATTTTTTCTAATTTAGTTAAAAATATAAGAATTGTGACGCATATTAACTATGCACTAATGAGATCAAATTTTGGCAGCAGAATATATAATATTTCGTTCTCGATTTTTATGCCTTTTCATATACTACATCAATCATTAACCATGTTTATGATCTAGGCAATTTGTTTAATATTTTTTTGTTTTACACAATAGCTACAAGTATATACCGCCAAAAGCTAGAGTATCAAGCGAATTTTCGAAATCATGCTAAAAACTTTAGACACGCTCCTATGGCAAAAATACAACACTGCCGACCAATCGACGCGAGGGGCGCAATCCGCATACGTGCGGAATTAGTCGAGTCAGAAAAGGCAAGAGAGTTTTTTAAGTGTTGAGATCTAAAACTGCTCAGCTACAGTAACAAAAATTTCAACAGCTATGATTTATAGTTGCGATATAATAAATTGTAACATTTTCCTTCATTAAGAGAAAACATTCAAGTCTTTTTTATTTTGAAAAGTGAGTCAGATAAGTCAAATGTGCTGGAATGAGAATTAAAATCATGACATATACGGCGGAATGGCTTGTTTAGTTCAAAATTTGATCTACTGGATTTTAACAGTAAAGGTCTAAACTGCCTCGAAATTCGAATCGGGATATTCAATTTAATTTCAGCCAGGGAAAAAGAACTGAAAACTGTTCCATTCAAGATTTTCACTAAGAATATTATGCCAAGCATTTTCCTACGACTAGAAAGTGTAGGTAGATTAATAAGTTTTAAACGACTAGTGTATGGAGGTAGACTTACCCTAGAATCCCATCGGAAATGCGCTAAGGTGAAAAGTAAACATTGTTTTTGAACAGACTTTAACTTGTCAGAATGGATTTGGTAGTTAGGGTTCCATACAACAGAGCCATATTTCAATATAGGTTTAACCAAAGTTGTATAACGTGTTTTAGTAATATACGGATCTCTAAATTCTTTAGACCAACGTTTAATAAAACTGAGGACAGCTTTTGCTTTCAAGATCATGGTGTCAATATGAAGACAAAAATTAAGCATAGAGTCCATATTAACTCCCATAATCAATCAATCAACATAGTTAAAAACTTGCTCCAGAATATACTGTTTTATTACACAAGAAGAGGAGTTAGTTCCATTTATTATCCTTTTTAGTCAAGTTTATATGACAGAAGCTATAAATCCATCTTCGGATCTTTGAAAAAAATTAACATTTTATTTTCTGAAAAATACTGGCCCGACTTTGAACCCTTTTAGCATCTGTCTCATAAGGTAAGGTTATACTCGTCGGCTGTCACGCCATACATTGATCTACTAGTCCTTAGTAATGATAGATGGAGGTTCAGTTAAATTTGGCTCTGGCGATCCTGGATGTACTTAACGCATTTCATCTCATCCTGATCCGCTTGTCAGCCCTTTCGGAAATTTCATTGCATATCGTTTTTAGTGACTTCTGTATTTCCTGTACTTATTCGGTCGCAAAACGGGGGGCAGTTTTGGCAATCTCATCAGCTATTTCGTTTCCCGGAATTTGTTTCTAGCCTGGAACCCAGTATATATGCCGCCACTACATCTTCTGACTTCCTGCTTTTAAGGACATTCTCTGACGTAATGCGATGTGAGATTATTGCCTTAATTACTTGACTATCGACGTAGTATATATTTATCCTTTTTATGTTGTCTCCTGCATAAAGCGGCTGATTTCCTGACTGCAAAAGCTTCCGCCTGAAAGATACTGCAGTATTCCGGCAGCTTGAAGGGTCGTCTGAGATCTAGCCATTAGCCATTTTTGATCCATTTGTATAGATGTTGTAAGTTTTCTGTCTCATAAACTTCAACTTTATTGAAAAAACAGCGAAACATAGATGAGGTCCATATTTTTACTTTTTAAGTAAATTAGATACTTTATTTAATAGTGAATTTGAATTTCTATTAATTTAGAAGTTCAAAGGCAATTATTTCGATTTTTGAGGTTAACTTCGAAAAACGGTGAAATCAGTTTTTTACTTATTACCTAGCTCTTAGAAAGTTTCTAAATCGAATACCTAGCCGGGTGTTGTACAGTGTTCTAATAATGAGTAAAGTTTCATTGTAGGATGTTATAAATTGATTGACCAGTGTGATAATCCTATTCAGTGACTATTTGCATAAATAATGTTCTTCACACAAAAAATATTAAATCTTCAACACAGTTTTCTTGTAGATTTTTCAGAGACCGACACAATTTTTCTAATTAAAAAACATTTTTTTAATAGTATTTTTCTAACATTTATATTAAATTATTTCTATTATATGCATATTTTTTACAGTTACATAATTTTTATTATCCAAATAAGTTCATTTACCACACTAGTGCAAAGTTCAGTAAAGTGCGATAAAATTTGTTGATATTCAACATAAGAGTAGTGCAGCATTCCGTCAACATTTCGAAATATGATATTACAAATTCTTTTCTTCAGCTAAGAACTTGTACAATTATTATATATGTATGAGTAATCTATCAGCAACAACATGCACATACATATGAACAAGTATTTAATAGATAGCATTGTTTTTTTTTATCAGTGGATTGACAAAGGTCTCATTATGGCTTCATGATATTACTGTTATTTGTAAACGCGTAAAATACGTACAGCTTTGTTTGTAGTAATAGTGGAGCTCTAAAGTACAATAGAAGTAGTAAATTTTGTTTAAGAGAAATAATTTAATATTATGTGAAAATGTAATACTATGACCATAAAACTAGTCTCGAGAAAAAGTTCATCGGAATATACGAGTAGGCCGATTTTTCCGGGTACTGGAACAAATCAATTTTTTTCAAACGATTGAGTCATAAGAAAAAAAACGAGTTTCTCCGTTTTCATTCGTATTTCAAAATTATTAATTATATTATATTTTGTAAGTTCCTCAAAAAGTAAATATATGCACATCATCCAAGTTTTCCTCTTATTGCATACCATAACATTTTTTAGTCAAGCTAACATTACAAATGCTACAAAGTTTCAATGTCGGAGCAGTATCTTTGAATTTAACTTTTGTGTTTTTTTTCCGAAAAATCGACTTTGACGTAGATGATTACTAAAAAAAATTATTTTATTTCAAATATTATTACAAAAACCCACTAAAATGTTAATCTAGAACATATGTAAATATAAATAAATATAAACAAAAAATTGTTTGGCAGTTATTTGGGAATTAAAGTTGCCAAATCATTTAGAAGATTCACTGGCAAATTTTTGCCCAAAAGTTCTTCACTGGCCGGCAAAGCTTACGAATTTTGCTTCTCGAACTTCATTCTAAAAATGACTCCATAAGTTATATTTGTTCGGATTCACTCTTATACTAATCGACTCAGTTATTTCGATCGTAACCCATGAAAGCATCAACAAAATGTAGTCACTCAATACCACAAAGAGGAAACGCTGAATATTTTACACCGCAAGTTTCAATAGCAGATTTTCGTTATTACATGGTCAGGGACTACGTATGTATATACTGCCAGTAGCCACTGAAAGAAGTAATTTATTTTGGTTCATCCGCTTTTCATATAATCATTCGGTATCAATAATTGATAAAATCTGTCACAACCTTGCCCAAGGTCCGGTATACCAAATTCTTTGATTATTATTAATCCAATCGATATTCAGTTATCTTATATGTATTAGGCTCAAACTTAATAAACAAACTAATATATGTATGTATGTATATATAATATATGTACATATATACAAGTTTATATCTACGAAAGACTGACTTGCATGCGTGAGCGTGAGCGGAAGCTTAAAAAGTTGTTGCTTTAATCACTGCCATAATCAACCATTTACTGCTGTGCGGCATCACTTTGTCATATTAAAATGAAATTAAAACGAAAAATTAAAATAAATTGATAAATAAACATAAGTGCTGCAACGAATTGACATGGGAAAACGAATATTGCTATTAACTGTAAAGGCAATTAAATGTATGCGAATACGCAACAATGGTAAATGAAGCACGGTAGTTCAAAATCGTACTGGTTTTGGTAAAACTAAAATGAACCATGCATACAAACAGTGTGCACCATCTTTTATGACGGTTTGTGAACTTTGGAAAACTTTGATATGAAAAACAAAAACTGCCTTTTGAAGTTTAGATATTTTCAGGTAATTTGCTGTTTACAATTCATTTAAATCTTTTTTTTCAACACACATCAAACAAGTTGCTGTATTTATTGACTTCCCAAAATTATGTTTTTTTGCTGCAATATCCAGCATTTTTTCGAGATTTTCGGGCAGTATAGCGATAATTTCGGCATGAATGTTGGCTAAGGGCTCGACATCAGTCAAGGAATTGCATAATCTTACTTTTTTAAATCATTACACGATAAATAGTCAGGGAGACACATACTTGGTAACTGGTTGACCTATCAATGTTGTAATGTCTTTTTTGTCTTTTTGTCTCAAAAACGGAATGGTACTAATCGACATGCAACATGGCGCGCCGTCTTAAAGCAACCGACAACCCTCAAGCCCATTTCAAGCATTTTATCCAGATATCATATATAATATAATATATTTCTGTTTAGTTATGTGTGAAAAACATAGCATAGATTGTTGGTCAAATGTCGATAAATATTAACTTTTTAATCTTGCAATGACTTTGCGTGACTGACTAATTATTTAATGCAAAGCAATTTCCAGTAATAAAGCGTTTTTGCTATTGTTCTTAATTGCGTTTTCTAACTCCAAGCGGCTAGTAAATTTTGGGTTTATTTATTGTTTACGTACCGATATAAAATATGACACACCCTCTATGTATTAATATACCCATGTCAAATATTGATAAATTTTTTTGATCTACATATTCCTTAGTGGTTGAATTTTATGACTGAAATCCTCCAACTAAAAACTTTAGTAGACCTACAAAACAATTTTCTTTTGAGTTCATCCATTTTTAGTACAAAATACACTATACTTAATCTAAAATGTTTATTTAATTTTAATAGATCTGTTATACTGTACGAAACATTTGCTATAAGAAATCCTCACACTTGATACAAGGGTATTTTAGGAAGGTTTGGAAGGTCATAGTTGGGCATTATATTATATTTATTAATGACTTAGGTAGCGAATAATGTCAATATAAGGGAAGCAGGCGTGATTTAGAGCGATTTCGCTTCTTTTCACATATACTTAAGGGGATTATGGTTTATAACAAATGCTACGTGCTAAGTCGATTTACCCATGTCCGTTTCTCTGTCTCTATCTGATCACTGTAGCATATAGCTGCCATACAAACTGAACGATCGGAATCAGGTGCTTGTATAAAATAGGTTTTTTATTTGAGGAGATATGTGCACTAAATTTGGCATGAATTATTGTCTAAAGCAATAATGCCAGCCCATAAAAAACTGTTCAGATTTATTCACTATAGCATGTAGCTGCCATATAAACAGAACAATCGGAAGCTAGTGCTTGACACTTTTTATTTTTAATTGGCTACGCGTGCTAAACGCCAACACATTTGTGATTTTATAATTTCCACATACATATTTATGTATGAACAATTTTATGTGCTAGTGTAATGCCATTTTTTTTTTGTATTGACGCTGAGCGACGCGCTCATGTTATTGACTTTGACCGCTTAATTGATTTGGAGCAGAGCTTTTAGGGCCATGTATTTATATATATTCGAGTGTGTGTATTAATACTATATTCATTTACATTTTTTAGTCATAACTTTTCGGTGAACGTTTTTTATAATACATTGTGGAAATATTTATTTAATTTTGAACAAAACTGCTTGCACTTTCGCTTTCATAATTTTCAAGTGCTATGCCGTGACAGATTTTTATTGTTTCGCGATAGCAGCTTTTTTGGTCATGACAAAAAATTAGTTTTTACGCTTACTTATTTACTTACAAATATCGCTCAAGAACTTGTTTTTCATGTGTAGCTGTATATAAATATGTGATTTATTTTAATAAAATTTTTTGGTCATAAATAACTAAATTAATGAGTTCTGATAATTCAATATTTTAATTTTACAATGATAATAAATATTAAATAAAGTATTCAGCTGTTGTTTTAAATACGCTGTGCGACAAATTAAAGTTGTTAATATTCATGTCGACATATAGAGAGAGCCCAACTCGTTGTTTTTCTTTTGCGATTTTTTTGAAAAAGAATTTTATTTAATATATAAATAAAAAGGTAAGTATTTACAGAATTGATTGCATTTTCATAGTCGGTGAAAATTTCGGATTCCCTTGATCCCGTAGCCGATCTCCAGACAGTCTTCCGGAAAAAAGGTAGTAGACGGTGAGGAAAATTTTTCTGCTTAACATCACCTCAAATCTAAAACTCAGTAAAAATATTACTGCAATAGATTAATGCGGGTATTAATCTAAGAACTAATCAAAATATTATAATGTTTTTTTTCAAAAGGTATTTCTTATGAAAAAATATACAATTAAGAGTGGCTTAAAAAATTTAAATTATTTTCTTTTTCCTTCGATCATTACCTGAGAAAAATATCTAAGAAGGTTGTGCAAAAATTTCAAATCAATCGGTGAAGCCAGTTCGGAGAACATTTCCACAGCGCCTCTAAAAACAGCATTTCGAGAAAAACGAGTTTATGGTTTTGGTGCCGATTACGCTCAGTTAAAAAAATCTTACGCGCATATCTCGAAACACTTTGCCGGATCAACTTCAAAAAAAAAAAAGATTCTTTCATAAATGGATATAACCCTTAACTCAGAAACATTTTCATATATAATGTAGCATACATTTAGGCTTAGCACTCATATTTTAGCCAAGTCACATACCTAGTGCTATTTAAATTTTATAATTAATTCAAAATACTGAAAATAATGTCTTATTTAAATTTTTATAGACTTTTATATATATGTCATACAAGTAAATAATTTTCATTAAAATATATTTTTATAACTCGATAGTGGACTTACAAAACCTAACAGAAAAGATTAGCAAAATAAGCCAAAATATTTTTGGCTACAAAATTTTAAAATTATTCTCAATTCCGCAAATATATTTTGCTGACACACAATCGCCAATAGCTTTATAAATCTAAATAGTAACTGTCAAAAGCGTGCCGATATTCTGATTAGTAATTTATTAAGTTATGTTTTTAGACAACGAATCGCCATGGTGACAAGTAATAAGATAAGAATAAGGTAGTAACTAACATGTGCGTCTAAAAGAGAAACACATTAAAGTAGGTGCACACAGTGAGTGCGAATATTTTAGGTACCTGTGTGATTTTAAGTGTGTTAAGAGTGGATTAAAAAATGTATTATAATTAAATGTTAATTCTTAGCAAATATTGCCTTAATTGAAAATTTTAAGGTTGACAGTTTTCTGAAATAATTTTTTAATAAATTTATAAAATTGCCTTTTTCGTTATATTATGACTTTTCTCTCGCGCCCTATTTAGCACGCGCAACATGCTAGTTTGGGAACCACTGCTTATATTTAGATTACCAGTGTCCAATAGGCAAGTTATTGTTTATTTAATTTTATGACTTAAACATTTTTATGATACTTTGATTACTTCATTGAAAGTTTTATAATTCTTGTAGTAAGATAATGTATGGATACGAGACGTGTACTTGCTTTAAGCTCACTAGTGTGCACAAAGTGGTTGTAGACTACAGAAGAATTTGTAGACTTGGCATAAAAAGATAAAAAAAATATAAAATAAAAATTAAATTATATATTAAGAAGTAGTGTAGTAAGTGCAATTACTTTCTTATATTCCTAATACTTTTACTTGACTACGAGTATATGTGTTTTTAATAAATGTAAGTGTATTAACTACTGATTGTGTGATGTGGTGCCTCATGCAATGTGTCGCTTGAGTGAATTTACTAGAATGACTACAAAAATTAGACACGTGATCAATATTATTTTAATACTTTTTTTAATATTTTAAAAATATATCTAAATTAGTCAGAAAATCTATTAAAATAAAATAACTTTTTTAAACAATTCTTTGTGATATCGAAGTAACTAAATGTTGAACAAAAAAAAAAAAAAAAATAGATCGAAGTTGTAATTTTAACAATTTTATTTCAAAATTTTTGATCTTAATATTTTAAATAAATTTCACAATGTGTTGAAAGGCCGAACAGCCAGAAAAATTCGAGCTCCTCACTTCGTATAAGCTCTTTTCACAGAATGTCTGTCTAACGTGCATAAGATCTAAAAACAAGAAAAAGTCTCTTAAAATAGTTTATACTATTTTGCCATAATTTTCATTAGTTTCTAACACGATGAGATGGTAGTTTTGAAATCACACGACACTCAGTTTTCCCAAAGCTTTCGCATATTTAAATATCTATAGCAAATTAGTCGAGCTGTCTTTACGGGCATTCGAAAGAAAGTTCTGTATTTTTTTGATTTTTTCGAATAGGTTTAATAATGTTAGAGATGTTTTATAATCTGGATTAAATTTTAGTGAAGTTTGCAGCTATTGAAACTTTTCTGCCTGTTTGGTATATAATCCTTTTTTCTAAATGATATTAAATTTGTGCATTACTTTACTTTACTTATATTGACGCAATAATAACGACAGTAAAAAATTTGATTGAATTTGAAACGTTTTTATATTAACCTTTATAAAATTTTAATATTTCAGTTAATGATTAGTATTTGCATATATACGAGGATTAGATTCATGTATTTTAGGTACTTCTTTTTTACGAAATATACAATTTCTTTAATCGAAAAGCCCCCGTGAGGTAGTTTTTAATTTAAGTTATTTATTCGTTTCACTCACCTTTTTCACTTTAAAATAAAAACACGGCGTATACAAAAGGGTAGCACGGGCGGAATGTCTCGTACGTCTCTTCGGTTTGATCGCTAACGAAAAAGGGAGCCGTTTTGTCCTCTGTTAGCCCCTTTTGAAGGTTGAGTTGTGTAGAGTTGTGTGATGTGATGTGTATGTGTGGGGTGTGATGTCTGCGTGGTGTGATGGTGTGTGTTAGTGGGTGGAGTCTTCTTGTGGATCGTGTTGGTGTGGTGTGTTGGCGCTCAGTGGCGCGTATGGAGGGGGGAGGCGTAACTCATTTAGCCATAAGTTATATTGTTTTATTAAAAAAAAAAATTTTACGTGTTATTTACTTATATGCGAAATTTTTAATGAATTTGAGACTTAAAGGAAAGCTTAAAATTTTTCTTTGAAGTGATATTTTTTTCTTTACATTATTTTAACCCATGAATTCGATTGGTTAGTTTTTCACTCCCCTTAATAAATATGTATATATAAATGCATATAAAAATCTTTGTATAAATGATTACTGGTTTATAGGAGGAAGCTTTTAGGAAGCTCCATCATGGAGACTGTTTCAAAAATTATTGTATAAAAACTGGAAATATTAAAAAAAAACGTGACTGATAAGATAGACAATAATGGCAAGGTGAAGAGGCAGTAGAATGGTAGTATTAGGAATAGCGCTTCGAAGAATCGAAAGTCAAAATAATATAGATTCTATAGAACTATGTGAAAGGTTTAAGAATTTTCTCTATAAGTCAAAACAAACTTTATCATCTTAGCTGCTTTCACTCAAGAGTTTTTAGCTTCTATATAAATATAGTTAAATATCATCAGGCCCAACAAGAGGCAGTTAGTCACTCAGCCCTTATATAAGATCTAGTAAAATGAAATCCATTGTTTTTGTATTGGATTAAAGATTTTCTTTAGGTAAGAGAAATAAGAAATTTTTTGGGTACGAAATCTTAACTTTCTAACGGCCTAAAGCGTAGTCCGATCGCACTTATACCAGGTGACATACAGATCACTAAAGCCTTCTATTAATAAAATAATAGATTTACTATACCTTATATTTTAGAAGAATGCTATATACAAGTATTTCATATAAAATTACTTTCGGAAATGATTTGCGAAAATATACAGTAGTCTCAAAGCCGCGCTAACTTCAGTAACTACATTACTTGCTTAAATTAATCAGTTGCACCTACAGACTTGTTAACAATTGATACTATCATTATAGCTGACTCAGACCACATAAGAACCCCTGATCATAAACTGCGTTCAAGTGTCTTAAAAAAAAAATCGCAAGTAGCAAACATCCTACGGATCACATAATGAGATAAAATAATAAAAACGGCAATAAATGAAAAATGTCACACACCTAAGTAGCGGTAGCGTTTAAATTTTATATTAAATTCGGCTTATCTTCGTATAAACATTTGGTTTCGTTTATTGGCAAAAGTTGAATTATTTTATTATACTAATCAATCAAATTTTCGTACAAGCAGCAAGCTGCAGCTTTTATTGTCCTTATGAGCATATAAGGCCAAGAAAGTAGGCGTATCATTTTAATGACATTTATTGGTCATTAATGAGTTCGCGCTTTTAATCTGAAAACTCTTTCATAAACTTAAGACACTTTCATATATTTAGTATAATTTAACAAAACTGTTGCTCATTTAAAACTAATTACTTAAACAAGAATGTTGTGTCTCAAAGATAGCTCATGCAAGTTTTTTCAAATGTATTAAGTTCAAGTGGAAAGCTTAAAAAGTGAAAGCTGCAAAAGTAAGCAGGTGAAATTACAAGTGTTACCTTTTTACACTATTCTAATCTAATTGGTGTTTTAAAATGAGTTTTTGCTATCAAACCTATAATTATGAATCAACAGCGATCGCTTACACTTATTGACAGATATTGTAAAAGCCCTTAGCGACGCATTCATCTGTTTTTGTTTCTGTGAAATGCTACTACTCGTCGAAAGAGAAATGCGCCACGGTTATAACCACGCAAAATAAATAAATATACGCAATTTAATCAACGCTTTATTGATTACAAGTTCAACTGAATATAAATATTTTTCTGTTGCTCCAGAATGATCGATTCGTAGGCGTATCATTAGAAGCACAGTGACTTTTTCGCTCATGATTCATTCACAGTGACTTTTTCGCAATGTTGATTGTGAATTTGAACGAATCATGAGCAAGATGCGGTTATGACAACTATTTTCATAACCGCAACTGTATATACCTATTATGTTGTCATAACCGCATCTTGCTCCTGATTCATTCACAGTGACTTTTTCGCAATGTTGATTGTGAATTTGAACGAATCATGAGCAAGATGCGGTTATGACAACTATTTTCATAACCGCAACTGTATTTATTATGTTGTCATAACCGCATCTTGCTCATGATTCATTCAAATTCACAATCAACATTGCGAAAAAGTTACTGTGCTTTTGATGATACTCTATGCTGCGCCTACGAATCGATCATTCTGGAGCAACAGAAAAATATTTATATTCAGTTGAACTTGTATATATTCAATAAACGTATAGTTTAATATGAAACTAAATTTCTCTTTTATTGCTTCAGCGGCGACAATGTCCGTAAATAACAATAAATGCTGTGTGTGCATAATAATAGCAAATATGCGTACTTATCTGTGGCATCAGTACATCTGATGAGGCATAAAAATAACTTTATGTATTGACCACTACTTGAAGCTGCGTGACAATTGTAATGGAGTTGAACTTTTGCACTTCGCAGTATTAATAAATACATTAGGTCAAGTAAAAAGTTCGTTCGGTTTTTATCTAAGAGATGGCGTTATTGTCGCATCATGTCATACCATACGGCGCTGAAAACGTTTATTCGCGCTAAAAGTTTGTCTTTGACAGTTTTTCGATTGATTTATTCAGTTCGTTGTGAGCGCTCGTCAAAGATGGACACCAACAAAGAGAAAATTCGCTATATTTTACAATTTTTCTTCGATCAAAGCGAAAAAGCAGCCAAAGCGGCTGAAAACATTAATTTAGTTTATGGGCCCGATACTGTAAATGAACGTGTAGCACAAAAGTGATTTGCTAGGTTCCGTTCCAGTAATTTCGATGTCAAAGATGCACCACGCGTCGGGAGGCCTGTCGTCGAAAATTGCGATAAAATCATGAAAATAGTGGAAACATACCGTCACGTGAGCACTTATTTAATTGCTGAAGAACTAAAGATAAGCCAGAAAACCGTTTGGAACCATTTGCATATCTTGGATTCAAAAAGGAGCTCAATGTTTGAGTATCACACGAACTAACGTAAAAAACATGATGGACCGAATTTCCATCTGCAAATCGCTGCAGAATCGCAACAAAATCGACCCGTTTCTGAAGCGGATTGTGACTGGCGATGAAAAATGGGTCACTTATGACAACATCGAGCGCAAACGGTCGTGGTCAAAGCTCGGGGAAGCGGCCCAGATGGTGGCCAATACCGGATTGATGGCCAGGAAGGTTTTGCTGTGTGTTTGGTGGGATTGGCAAGGAATCATCTACTGCGAGCTGCTCAACTATGGCCAAACGCTCAATTCGGCCCTCTACTGCCAACAACTGGACCGCTTGAAGGCAGCACTCATCCAGAAGAGGCCACCTTTGATCAACAGAGGCCGAATTGTGTTCCATCAGGACAACGCCAGGCCATACACTTCTTTGGTGACTCGCCAGAAGCTCCTGGAGCTCGGATGGGGGTTCTAATGCACCCACCTTATAGTCCGGACCTGGCACCAAGTGATTACCATCTTTTTCTGCCCATGGCGAACGCGCTTAATGGTGAGAAGTTGATCTCAAGAGAGGCCTGTGAAAATTAGCTCTCCGAGTTTTTTGCCAATAGGGACGCAGCCTTCTATGAGAGGGTTGGCATCTCGTTGGCAACAAGTTTACGAACAAAACGGCGCATATTTGACTTAAATCGGACAAATGTACACAAAGTAAATCAATAAAAAACCGAACTAACTTTTTACTTTAGCTAATATTATGTATGTATTTAAAAGCAAAAAGTGTCAAATTGTGACTTTAAAACCACATAAAATCCCGAAGGAATAGCTACAGATTTTTCTTAGAGCGTTCGGAAAATAAGAATTACTTGAAGAATTTTATATCGTCACATCTTAGACTACAAGTATTTTCCCCTCTCCATCTAAATATTGTCTTTAGAATCAATTAAATTGTTGTTGCTCCAAAATGTAGGCAACGTTTTGTTATGTGCTCTCGCTTGTTGAAGATTTCTTACAAAATATGGTTATTCGCTAGCTTAACTAAGCAAAAGCTCTATATTAATATTGCTGTTCTTAGGAAGGAATCTTAGTGTTTAGCACTGTTAACTTTGCTTAACATTTCTGAACAAGTGCTTTGTGTGCAGTGGAAGTTTTCTCATAGATCGTAACTGGATTACTCACTTCATAAATCTCGCTTACCTTTATCCAATGCAATAAAAAATGTTGTATGAATACTATCTTTTAGATTACACTTTCGAAAAATAAAATTAATTTTATATATTTTTGATGAAAAAATGCTGATCCAAAAGACAGTGTTATCTGTTGAAGCTCTTTCTATTAGCCGTACGGCGTCAATTTTGAATTCTTGTAGATCCGTCAATTTTTCATACAGGATTGGAAATTTCAACCAACGAATAATTTTTAAGAATAGTGCAAATTATCTCGAAAAAAAAAGATAGAAATATAACATTAATACAAAAGGAGTAAAAACGTTAACTTCGCCTGCTTGTATGGTAGTTTTATACTATAGGGTCAGCGACGTTTCCTTCCGGGTGTTACAAACTTCTTGATCAAGTCAAAATACTCTATTCAGAGTATAAAAAGAGCTAAGAGCTTTTTCAGTACAAAAACCAAAATACGAAATACAAACGAATACGAAAACAGCCAAAATAAATTTTCGCTCAAACTGGCAGCTCATCTATTCAATCAGTATTGTTATGTCAACTACGTACAACATATTTATGTAATTAATTAATTAACAAATATAATATTATATTTGCGATTTAAGTGATCAGCTTATCAGAGCTCAACACATATATGTATTTATAGAAATATACAAAAATATTTGTGCTGGTGCCTTATCATGCTTTTTCCCTATCTCTTTCTATTGTTTTGGCGATTTGGTTCAGCGAAGGTTTTATGTTGATTTAATCTATGCACTGTGGCTATCAGCTCGGCGGCAGCTGGGTTTCGAATCGTTTTCACAATAACTTTTGACAGCTTCTATGCACGGCCGATCGCTAACGGACGCCAGTACTTCAATAAGTGTGCTCTTAATACTAACGATAC